TATCGGGCTATTCGCTTTTCGACGGCTTTCACCAACCGACGTCATTTCCTCTCCTCGATCGATTCCAGCGAGGAATAAGTTTGTTTTTATTTTTATATTTTCTCTGTGTTTTGAAGTTTCTTTAGCGGTATGATTAGTTTTACGGGGTAGGGTTGCGAGCCCTATACCTAACCTTCTCTCTTTACACAGGCATAGGACGGGCTAGTAACTGGTGAAATAGTTAACCAGGAGAGGCTTCTGTGTAAAGTGAATGTCATTATTTCTTACATGAAAATAAATATCGAATGAGATCCAAGATCTTAAGATACCATTTTCTACTTATATATCTCTCAAGGAAGTGACTATCTTCAGGATACTATTAAGAATGAACCAGCACACTATGGTAAACCTACTGAAAGCATTTAATCGTATACAAACACACAAAAAATCTTAAGAAATCATTTGCTTATTTATAATGAACGTTATACAAGAAGGAAAAATTCTAGAGATCATCTTAAATACTAAGTGGAGAAATAAAGGTTGATATATAAGTAATAAGGGACTAGTTAACTATACAATAGTGTGAATAGTTATGACAAAGAAAATGATAAGTAACTGGGACAAATAAATAAAGAGTAAGATGAAAACACTGTGAATGGTAAGTACAGTCCATAAAGCCTAAGGGGATTAGGAAAAAATTCATGAAATATCAGGTATTTAAGTTCCAAAAATGTGACGAGCCAACTGTTGGCATCACACAAACTAGAGTGAATTGTTAGATTTAGCAATGCCATCAAATAGAAGAACATTTTATGTCTTTTTACTAGGACCTTTAAGTGACACTTCACTCATATCTTCAAAGAAACCCTAATGCCAATCACACAACAATAAGCATCCATCGAGACTTATTAGATGAGCCTAGGAAGCTAAGATTACTTGGTTTCCCCAAAAATGTACTCAGAGAAAGGCTATAGAAATTCGGAAGGTGAACCAGTTAGTGTCAAAGATGTTGCCAACACATCTAATATCAATTAATTTTGAGTAAAACTATCTTGTAAGTAAACAAATTCCTTTCAGTCGTTGACTTTCGACTCAAGTGGATTACTGCAGGACAGAAAAACTCAACATAAGTCAATATTTTAAATGAAGAAGTACAGAGGGAGTAACTATGACTCCAGGTTTCGCTTGTCATAATACACTAAGCAAGTCAATGACAGTATTCATCACTACACTGCTATCCAGGCATTCTGTGGTGACAGTTTTTTGATCAGCATTCACACGATCATGATTGAAATAATGCATCTTCATTTCTCTTGCCTACCCCTGGTCTGAGCTCTATATTTCCAGTGCTTCCCAGTTTTCCTCCCTAGCTTAATGCCTTGTTGTATGTAAACTACAGGGATTTCCTGGATTTATTCCACTACCTCATTCTTCGCGTGGAAATGTTATTTTGCAACAGTATTCAAAACAAATATGTTAATATTCAAATGCTTCAGTGCGAAGAAGCTCTACACGGCTTGGTTAAGTGGTGTGATTGTTTGAGGTGCAGGACATTATAGCCGGAGATGGCATGTGCACAGAATACTGATCGAGCCTATTAACGCAATGATGGTAAGCCTTCCTGTGATGCCACCGGGTTCTAACAAACACATCATCATAGTTGACTTTGCAGTAACAGCGGCAGACAAGATCCGTATCCGCTGATCAATGTCATAGATCTCCAAGGTGTGAAGAGATCAGCTGACTGTTAGGATTTCACCTAGTGAGCTGGAAGTAGTACACTAATAAGAGGTAAGGTAATCTTGTTTCCTAATTCCGGCAGTCACTGTTGTTGAAGAAGTCCAAAAGGAGGTGGTGCAGTTTACCTTGCGAAAATGGGGCAGTATTCTATCCGGATTGCTGAGTATCGTTCACTGTAGCCAAAGCTCATTTCTCAGGCAACTTAGGAGAAGCCTCCCTTCCACCCTAGAAGGTGTGCTGTATCGCATTCTGTAAGGCTATGAGTAATCAAAGAGATACATCCTACGCGCATCTGCCCAAGGAGAGGTTGGTATGGTTAACTAGCCTATTAAACCACAAACGCGGATATTCTAGTATGGAGGGATTCACAGACCAACTTTGAGGCAGCATTAACAGAATTCATTGCCAACAGTGTTAGTTCTCATGTGACTGCGTTACCGAAAGACGTTTCCCGCCCAGTGAAGAGATCGATCTCTTGGGTTAGGAGAAGATAACTTGCAAACAGACTGTGTCCGGCCTTGAACTGGGAGCTGAGCCAAAAACTGGGATCGAATTCTCTCCATCTTGGCAACTTAAAAATAAATTTGGGTACTTTAACATGAAGTTCAAATGTGCTGAAATCTATGTTTAAAGTATTTGATGATAGTGTAGATGAATGTGCTCATTTCATTTTAAAGTGTAAAAGGACTGGTAGAAATAGAAGGCAAATACTCAGAGATGACACTAAGTGATATTCACGCTTTGTCGTGAACTAAGAGAAGTAGACTACTGGATTCAGACGTAGTGCCTCAATGGAAACGTGGTAGCCGTGGAACCTGAGCATCATAAGTCCGATCTCTGGTGGCTGAGTTCATGGGTGCGCAATTCTAAGGAGTTCCATACTAGGAAAAAACAGCTGTTGAATGCTCCAAGGTTTCCAACGTTCCTCCAGCTGGTGTCAGTCCATGGTGAACACTGAACCATAAAATCCTCACGAACTCCAAAATTAAATAATAATAAATACTGATAAGATATAACAACTTTGTACTCAACCCAGCGGATGTAAATCATATTTGTGTTGTGCCTCAAATAACTTTTCATTCAATCTATACTGCTTCTTTACTTATTTCGTTTCACTTTGCCTTATTTATTTCTTCAAAATTTTAAGTGGTGAAATGTCAGCTCATCTCATTTTTCTCAGCAACAAGACACCACGTACTGCCATGAAATGACGATATCTTTTGAGATACTAAGGCGCTTGTCACCGCTTTTCATTGTTATGTAGTGGCAAATGTTGTTGTTGAGTGCCTTTTGAACTCTTTTCTGGGAAAAAGCAAACAAAACCATATACATACGTAAACACAACAGTCAGTCAACTAACTATTGATAATTACTTCCTGCTTTTTGTGTAAAATTACGTAATATGAGTTGTATATGGTTAAATGTCTTTTACTTCCTTCGCGTTTTGTGATTTATTCACTTTCTAAATGAATCGGATATGTTATATCGCAAAAAGCATTTCATAAAATAGTTTCAAGGAAATGGAACACGAAATATGATTGCAGTAAGGTTAGATAGATTGATTAAAAATCGTGAATTAAATGGGTTCTTTTGTATAGGATTGTTTTGAGCTGGAAACCTTAAGTTGAGTACCTTATGATCGAAAACATAACAGCTCCCTCATAGTCGATGCTCACCCAATCTATTTATAACTTAAATTCAATTATCTGTTCTTTAACCACATCAATGGGCAATTATCATCCCATCTGAGTTGGGTGACATCTGCACACACTTTAGCGCTCACAATTAATGAGTTGAATTTTAGTAAATAGAATACTAAAATGAAGACGACAGAAAGAAACAATAAATATGCTGACTCAGTTGGTGACTACCTTTAACTCCAGCTGAATGAGTGCCGGTATGTAGAATGCAAATGTGTGTACAAAAGATCCTGCAAAGTAAGATTACTATAAACTATTAAACAACTTATTGTGAAAGACACAAAGTCAGTAACAAGGTTAACAGAAAATAAGGTGTCACATTTTCATTCTTCATGAAGAATTTGTTTGTCAGTTGAGTTATTATGCCGTACATTTAGTTCCAGTAATTGTGAAGCTAATTCAAAGCGGGAGAATGAAATGCAAAATGAGAACGACTTCGTAAACCTTTCATCGTTATACTATAAGTTCCTGTCATAAAGCTGTTAAGAGAATACTTTCGAGTGAGTCGAAGACAGCGAAACTATTAACTTCAAAGTGCCTTGACACCGCAAGATATTCATATTCTAATCACTACTTTATTCAACTTGGGTAAACTTTTATCAACGATTATAATGTTACTATAAAATATAAAACATTAGACAACCCACTTATAGATTTAAGTCTTTTATTTCTGGTTCTATGCATGCTGACGACTATCTCAGAGTATGTTAGTACAAATATTGCCCAATTTTACCACCCATTAGTTGTTCAAACACTCAATTTTTTGATGTCACAATTTATGGCTTCTCACTGATACTAATGGAAGTCTATTCGGGGTTAAGGTTTTTATTTACGGTCGGTAGTTAACTTATCTATGGATATGTTATCAGCAATTACTGTTCCTCAGTCAATGAAATCGTTGCTGAATGATAGCAGTCGTCTTTTAATATGAAGCACTTTAGTTTGCTGAGTCGATTTATCACTATAACAAATGACCCAGGTAGTCGTTCTAATAATTACTTCTAGCAATAGACTTATAAGTATTGATTACATTTTCTTCAAATGTTTTGAGACATTAGAGAGAACCTGCAGACATTCAAACTCTGACAGATCTCAGTAAGTTTGGACATTACGACGTATATCTCCACCTGAATTAGTGTGAAATAGGTTGAAATTATCGAATAATAATATTAATGTGATAGCCCATACGATAACATACAAATATGCGTCAAAGACTGTTAAGACATATCACATACAGTCAAACTAAGACCTGAACCCTTAGAATTCTGTACTACGTTCATGATATATCTTCTTTCTGAGATGAAGGAGAATATCTGTAGCTCAGGAAGATCATTTTGATGATATGTTCTTTGAGCTGGAAGAAAGCTTCACGATTAAACCATTCAGCTGAGAGAGAGCAGCACCATCAAAACATCTCATCTTCATTCTGATATTGCTAGGAAACGTATTGTTTCAGGGAGGCACAAGTATTTCGTTTCATAAAGTTTCAATACAGACGTTTGAGTGTATATTTCCTCTTTATACTAACATTCGTTTCAAAAATAACGCAGTCTTTTATTTTACTTCACTTCTCAAATCCGTAGGTGATCATCGTAGATCCGGAGGACACGAATATCGTCATCATACAACAGGACACTTACACTCTTCGGATTCTCATCCTCGCACATTTAGCGGAGGTGCGACACACAGTGAAGTTGGAGAAGGCGGAGTGGGCGGTCTTGTAGGTGAAAGTCACGGAGGTCATTCATTTGGAGGTCACGATCAAGGTGGAGTAATGGATGCTACATTTATTTGGAAGCTCACTAAACTTGGAAGAATTGGGTCGTCCAGACTTCGGTTTGACGATGATTTCGCTGATAGGCTAAACTACCAATATACTGGTGTATTGATGTTCCTGTTTATTGGTCTTATCGGAATTCGCCAATATGTTGGTAAGTTAATTCTGGGTTATTATTCTTCATCACAATTTATTTTACAAACGTCTCTATCTTATTCCTAAATATATTCCAATTTTTAATAGTCTTTAAAAATTAAGTTATTCATTTAAAATGCAGTGGCGATACTTTTGTGGCAAAGAGGGAACTCATTTACCTAACAAAAAGAAACCAAATTATGTCAAAAGTGTAAAGTCCACTAAATCAGCTTATCAAATAATTTATCAAGGTAAACTGCTGTTAGCACTGTAAAATGTGCCAATTCGAGTAGACCAAAATAGTTTTTTTTGCTGAACATGACTCAGAGTTGTGATACTGTCCATTGAGAAATTTACCAGAATATTCAGTCCATATAATTGATAAATTTGATCATTTTCAGAAACAAAATCTCGAAATCAGGTTTTAAAGGTAGTCAGGTTTTCTCGTATGCTTGGTTAGGCTAATGGCTACACTCCTGGTTAAAACTGTTGATTTATATGAATGTATTTAGATTTTCCGTCACTCAATCACCGTATTTAATTCTTCACTTAGCTGCGCTTGCAGCAACAATAAACTCTCTCGGGCCTTATACATAGCGTAACTATATCAGATTTAGTTAAGTTCCAATGTTCTCGCTAGCTGATGAATCAAAAGATGCCACTGTATCACCTATGTCTAACAATGAGTGGGTTTAACCTTCTGTATATATAATAACTACTTATTACTATGGTAATAGTAGGTTACACTGTTTAACAGTAGCTGCCGATGGTTTATAAACATATAAATTAATGTTTAAGTAGCAAACAAATAACTTCCAGCCTCCAGAGTGACTTGATTGCTTTTGCATTCCTCACTGTATCGTCTACGAAAGGATTATCATTTAGGTAGAATGATATATTTTAATGATAGCGGCAGGTACATCCAGCCGATGAGTCCCGAAAAGAATGAAATGCATGTCCTGGATTCCGCTGCTAGACAGCATCTATCCTTATTATAAAACAGAAACACAAGCGGTATTGAGGCATCCACGCTGGAGCTCATTTACCAGTTGAGACCGATCAAATTAGGTCCAATCAGCGACGAGATAATACAAGTAATAGCAGTAAAAATGGTTTATTGGTTTTATAGAGTCATGGCAATAGTCACTGCTAGTGTATGGACGACTTCCCGTCTAAAAAGTTATATGGTTATTGTACTTAAAAGCGGTTTTGGGCTGACTTGTACTCATCAGTGATTTGTCCAATAAAGCAAGCGTAAAGGAAACTTTCTAGGTTGATGTGCAGGATAGAGGATATGTTTTTGTCATGGAAGCGTATAAACGACAACTGTACAACTGTAAAATAAATTTACGAACTTGATAAAGTGGTTTGACTTGCAAGGGAGACTACAACTATATTTTAAGTGTGATGTACTCGGTGCTTCACTAACAAATTCCATCTCCAACGGCACCAGGATACTTATAACTGTAAGCTATAGACTGAAATGAACGCAAAAAGAAATATTAATTGTCCGGACATTAGTTTCTTTTTAAATCGGTAACTAATGTATTCATTCATGTATATGAATAAGAAGTAAGCAACACGATAAATAACGAGCGCTTAACTAAGGTATTCAGTCAGAAAGTGAGTTATTTTGTCCAAACAGTTAACCACTTGCCGGTTTTTAATGATAAGACACTGGGCTGTAACTAGTAGATACAAAGTAAGTCTATGAAAATATTTAAATTATAATGCATTATGAATATTGTCATACAAAAGCTACTGAGACGCTGTATTAGTAGACTAGTAAGTAAAGCCATTCAGACATTTTGCTTTCTATTTTTTTATCCTGTGAAAAACAACAATGAACGTATTAATGGGGCTTTTGGTAACAAAACTGCTTTTTTTACCCATTGAAGGTTATCAGTAACATACTGATCATTGTGTGACTAAACCAGCCCTATGAAGTGTGTGTCAAGCTGTTTAGGCATTGGCAGTTGTTTTGTCTAAACAGCCTGACCTCTTATATGTTGTTAACTAACTATAGTAATTAAAACTATGTACACCATATGAATTAAAATCCTGGCTAACTTGACCGAAATACTTTTACTTTTAGTTCCGTATGATATGTATCAATCAGTAGCGGCTGAGACAGGTATGTTGAATGCTTACTGGTGACACCTTCATATGCTTTTACTTTTGTCTGTGAAACAGTATATGAAATCTGTCTGAGAGATATTCTTACGCATAATGAGGAGTCTCAGAATGAATTTATGCTGACACTGTTTTAGTAAAATTTTGTGGAACAACTTTTTAGCATATGAGTGTTTGCAGTTACATTATACATTAGCTTTTGTTGAGGAAAGACTCTTCTGAATTTGTCAGTATGACATCTCTATTCATAACAATCAATTTTAAATACTTTTACTGAACACTAGGTGATACTGCAAGGTTGCATAAAAAATCTTACCAGGTGAGTAGTAAATCATTTCCTCTTATGTTGTGTCTTATATCTTACTTGACTAAACAAGCATGATACAAATATATATTATATACGTAGTCCTAACGACAGATTCAGAGATCCTTCTTGATACACCAATCATGATAACGGTTAGTATTGTTGACTAAGAAGTCAGTGTTCCTCTAAGCTGCGTGAGTATTCTAGTAAATACTCTGAAAGATTTTTTTTATATAGAACGTTAAACACGAAATTTGGAAAAATGACCACAATTTACCATTTAGGTAAAAAAAACCGGTATTGCTACCCCCTCTTTTGTTAACTCATTTGGTTTGTTTTGCAAGAAATAAGTGTGATAATGAAAGCACACAAAATTCAATTTCTTCAGGGTTATTCATGAAGTTCAAAAGATTTTCGGATAAAAAGTAGGATATTCAGACAGAGTGACTACTGTAGTATGAAGATTTACCGACTTGAATCCTTGTGCCATTAAGTACTTCTTTACATATATTACGTCGTCGAACTCAATATGTCTATAGTCCAAACTCTGCTTTGTTTAGCCAGTGGCAGAAAGAAACATGCTTCCACGTTTTCATTTCTTCTGAATAACTGTTTTTTTCCCAAATTTTCTAAGCCCATCTCGAATTTGATGGACGAAGAAGTTACTAATTAAATAATCACACTCTCTGTGATAGGATAACATTGTATAGGTCAATAAACAAGACGAGAGTGACTAGGTATGTAAATCTAGTCGTCCTTGCTTTGTTTAAATCATCAAGGGAGTCTAATATATAAGAAACAGGTAATCATCACATGATCACCAAGGCTCATCTTCACATGAATTGAGAAGTGTAGAAAGTTTCGTAGAATAAAGGTGACTTAATTATGAACTGTACTTCAGTTTGGATTTCAGCAGTCTGCAGAAGCTAGCAGATCATTTCTTTCATATTATTACTAATTGACTTGATCTCAAATTCTGATGCGTATTTGATCTGAAAAAGTTAAGTTTTTTGGAAGGATGGAGTATGCTTTCTTTATGCATGTACGATGTTTACCGGCTCTGCTTGATGTGTTCATCTACTGCAAAGTCAAAAGGGTAAATGTGTGGTGATGAAGTATTTGTTTCAAAATACCCAGAGATATTGTGCGAAACATGATAGTTTTCTCTAAACCATCGACCATTCATCTTAAGCCAATTGCCACTTTAACTATACGGCCTTCAGAGTGGGATAACATGCTATGAACTACAATCAACTCACGATATAACCTCCACTGCATCGTGAATCCACTGAAATGGAAAATGGCAAAAACCCGAGTCTGGTATAAAATATGGATTTTTTAATATGACGCTTAAAATTCTCATGTTTAACAAACTGAAGGAAGGTATATTGTTGATGGTAAGATGTTCTGGGAGTCTCGACGTTTTCCGCATTAAACAGCGTTACCTGAAGCTCACTACAGCAGGATATGAAATTCCCGCTTAGTATATCAACCACCTCACTGACTACGTTTACCGTAGAGAACAAAAAATTATTTTTACAGTTTTAATTTGTGGTAATTATTTATCAGTAACTGGCTTGACTTATACACTTCTAGAAGTTCTGCCAGCAGTAGACAGTAGACGTCCAAGTGGTTGGCTAAACAAACTAATATTTTATCCTGGAAAAATTGAAATTTTAAAATTATTTTGAAAACATCAACCATTTTTCTAACCCTCGTAAAGCCAATACACTTTCTTCACAAACTCCTATACTTCTTACACAGTTGCATGAATGCAGAAACACTAGTGTTTAGGATGATGGTGATGATGAAGGTATTCGTGAACTGTTTCCTGGAACAACGTCAATATATGACCCATGCTAGCGAGAGCAGCATTGAAACCACCATCTATAAATATAATTCAAAGCTCAAAAATACTGCTTTGGCGAGAGGTTCATTAAAGCTTGTCAGTTCTCGAGTTTTCTGAAAGTGGGTCAATCGGATAAACAAGTTTTGAAAACTGTAAATAGCTAAATAATTATTAATATTAAATAAACAAAGTAGCAACTTATAATTTATGCAACAGGACAGCACCCTTTGAAACATATTACTGATACAAAACAGAGTTTCAAGATATGCTACTAGGTGCGTTGGTCACACTTTGTGGACATAATCGAGTGAATTTGGTCGGTACTAGTCACCTGAAGACCACACAGGTAACCATGATAAGACTGACTCTTCTTCGTACTGCTATCGTAAAGTGGGTCAGTTATGAATTGATCCTAGAAATTAAACACTAAACCTTCTTTATACATAAGTATACGTAAGTATACTCGGTTCTGCATGAAGATGCTTGTTATGAAAAATGTATTCTTCGGAATAAATCATGCTTGTATGACTTAGTTTCGGCATTTCTTAACTTAATTTCTAGCTTACCAATTAAAGTTACAAACCAATCACGTTAAAAAGTATAAAAGTAAAAAGTGGAACAATTCAGAAGAGAGAATAACCTGCCGAAAAAAAAGATATACAGACAATTTATGATTATGACTGCAACTAAATTTTCAAACATATTTTGATGCGGTTACTTGACAATGTACAAG